CCCACTTCCCACTCCCAGCCGTTCGAGACGTTCTGCACCACGTGGAATTATGCAAGACTGCTGTGTGACCACTCTCGTATGGTGAAGCCAAAACGCAAACAAAAAAGCTAAATTAAGATATTTACTTACTTAGACAGTTCATACTGCGCTTTTATTTGCCTCAGTATTGTAGGATCCAGTCCTCCTGTTTCTTCTTTGCGATATCGAGCTATGAATGGTACTGTGTTGTCACTATCGAGCAAACTAATTACTCTGCCAATGGCATTCACATCCAGTTGCAGGTTCTCTGCTAACACTGAAGCAGCTGTTCTGGATTTAAGGGGACTTTCATTGGCCATTATGGATGTTTGCTTCTCTCTGCCCATCGTGTTTTCTCTCCGCTTCTTTTCAGTTCCCTTTAATTTTGCCGCCATGGTCGGTGATTGCACAGCGGTTGTACATTCGGCTCAGAAAGCAGAATTGCTGTCATGCAAGACCACATGTTATGTCTTCTACACCGGTTCGTGCTCAGCGCTTTTTATTCTTTCTTTCTTTCTTTTCTTTTCTTTTCTTTTTTTTTTTTTTTTTTATAATTAAAAAAATGACAAATAAAACAAACGGTAGAATTCTACATCAAATAAAGAGCAGAGGAAATGTAACATGGCATAACTGAGCTTAGGAACTGCTGTTAAACAGGTTGATTTTCCAACAAAATTTATAGTAGCGGCAGTTTCCCTTCACTTTCGACAAATATAGTTGCCAATTAACTTCAACAATTAATATTTTGATTAGTTTCCTTCTATTTTCATCTCTAGTTTTGAAAATTATGATTTCTGTCCGTGTGAAATAAAAGAAAAAAGCGGTAGCGACACAACGAAAGTCGACGAAATAGAGTTAAAACGGCCGGAAGTAACAAGGCGGCTACGGACTAAAGGTAGGGAAAGTTAACACGTTCTAGTTCTTGCTTTTACTATCATTTTCAGTTTTACTTTCTTTTTTTTTCTTATTATATTATTGCTATTACTACTATTATTATTTTTAATTCTTTTTTTTTTTTAAGTCGTCATACTACAGAGAAGCTTCGGCAGCATACCGACTCCAGATACGCCTTTAGACTTTTTTCGTTTGCAGCAAAGATCAATTTTCGCTAAATCACAGTCAAAAAGTGTCAAAGTCTACTGTGTCACGAACTCATCTCAAGGAATAGAGGAAAATGCTTCGGTTTAATAGGGCATAAATCCTTACTACAGGGCGTATTTTTTTCTTCATACACTCGGTTGTATTTCTACACGAGGTGGAAAGTGTTGCATCCTCAGAGACTCAAAGGCTGTTCGTCGATTTCTGGTTAGCCCAAACTGAGTTTGCGTTGATTCTGTTTAAAAAGTTGGAGGCGTCTTAAGTGAGTTTTGAATATCGACTTAAATGAGGAGAAATTAAGAATTGTGCCACCACATTTCAGTGTCTAATAAGTATAATATAAAACGATATATTGATAATACAATGTATTTATTAGACAGAGTTAAAGAACACAATCTTTTAGGGGTAGAAAATCAAAAGTCTCAAAATGGTAGAACATCAGCAGAAGTGAAGTGTAGTATGAATAAATTCCTTTTCTAGAAATTAGCATATAAAAAACATCAAAATGTAGTTTAATTAAAATAATATATCAAACAATGCGTAATACTTAGCTAGTAACTATACATATTTTAATCCCATTAGATACTTATATTTTTATATCATGTACATATGTTTGCGATTAGTTTTAACATTTGCCTATTTATATATTTCTCTGTGAAATACGCAATTCAGTCTAATGACTGCGATGTATTTGTGAATAAACAGTCTATCTATCTATCTATCTAAGCTCAAGAATATCATCAATGTTAACCTAACCTATAAATCGATCTATCCGTTTATAGTCTGTTGCTTTGATTTTATCACTCATTCATTTTTTTTTTTCTTTCTTTTCCTAGTGTCAAATAAATAAATATCGATACATCATGGTGTAAAAAGCAAAACTTTTGCCGTGCTAAATGTAAAATTTTCCTCTAGTTAAGAAAGGCGTGACAGTTAACAAAATCTTATTGGGCTCTTCATGTTGTCTATCACCCATGACCTAACAATGCAACTAGTATTTTCTTGAGTTCTTCTCAAATTCCTTGACCATATCACTCAATTTGTGCATAGCCTCGTAAATGCCCTCACCATTTTTAGCGCAGGCTTCTTGCACATGCCATGGGTTTGCCTTGTGCTGCAACAGAGCCAACTGCTGAGCCAACTCGTGCGACCTAAGCGCTCGTGGAAGATCCTGTTTGGTACCAATGACGACCACGGGTACTCCCTCCATCTCTGGACTGTCGAGAACTGCGAAGAGCTCTCGCCTGGCCTCGTTGATTCTTTCCAGATCAGAACTATCCACGACATAGATTAACCCCTGGGTGTTTTGGAAATAGGGGCGCCAAAGTGGTCGGATCTTCTCCTGGCCACCGACGTCCCAGACCGTGAAGGTAAGTCCCTTGCAGGGTGAAACAGTTTCTACGTTAAATCCAATGGTAGGAATCGCTGACACCGTCTCGTTCAACTTGAGTTTGTATAATATCGTGGTCTTTCCAGCTGCATCCAATCCAACCATGAGAATGCGCGCCTCACTTTTGGAGAAAGAACGGTCACTCATTCGACTGAAAAATTGAGAAAGTGTGATTCCCATGACTGCGTTGTGGTTTCGTCTTTTACCAGGTTTTGTTTGACGATACTGAACAACACTACTAAAATACGGCTCTTCAATGTTCATTGTGCATGGAGTGTTGTAGCTGGAAACATAATTTCTGAATACCCAGTCAGTGCCAACGTGGCTTATTTTGACAGCTCAGATGAGCCGCTAAAAATAGACCCATCGCCAACAGCTTCCTTATTAGCCTCGTTATCAAACATTCTTACCCAGTCATCTCGCGGTTGAGGTATTTGTTATGGCGGTCCAAGGCTAAGAGCGACGAGATTTGCGAACTAGACTATCCGAAAAAGTCACAAAAGCGATGGAATCGACCCAAAAAGCTACGGAAAAAGTTGAAGAAGTATTCAAGTTCCTTTTGGGGACTCCATTGGATGACGTGAAGTGGAAGAAGATTTGAAAATCGATTTGGTTTCTTACGAGCTGTAACGGTATATTTTTTTAGTGCGATCGAAATGCGTTTCTTAATCTTTAAGAATTTAACGGAGGGTCCTCTGACTGCTGTGCTTGATCGTAACTTTTGTTGTTTATTCTTTAGATTAATTTAACTAGGACATTTGGAATGAATGGATAGCGGTCGTGTCAAGTTAGCCGCGATCTTTCACAATGTTAGAGTTGTTGAACGAAATGTTTATGGTCTAGCAAACAAAACAAAAAAGATGACACATTCCCTCGAATACCTCTTGGATTTATATCGGTTAAAAAAAAATCTTTGCTTTCATCGACTTTATAGATTGATCGGATTGATGTGTCCGAAAAAAAACACATTAATCCCGATAGCACATTTCAATCAACTCATCATTCAATGTATTTCACTCTGTTTATGGCTGCCTTACTCGATAGAAAATTAATCTATCATAGATTACACATATTATACATAGACTATGTATTGTTACACTTATAAATATTTCCTTGTGCCTTTTCATTCCAGGTCCAGATAATTCCTTCAATTCAAAGATACTAAATAGAGTTGTGCATACTTTAATTGTTTTTCATTGGTGCCATGCATCAAATTTGCTTTTCAAAGAGTCTTAGGAGAGTAACAATGGAATAGATGTGCTTTCAGATATAAACATGTTTTGAATCAATTCTGGTTCAAAGAATTACTTAAAAACACATCAAAGGCAATAAGTATCAATTAATGAATTAAATAAAATGAAGGTAAGAGTACTGGTAATAATAGCAATAATAATGATGATAATATTAATAGTGATAATAATATTAATAATAAAGATAATAGTATAAAAGATTGTGATGAGGAAAGGGCATGAATTCCATCTCAATATTGCATGGTTTTTTCAAATTGTGTATAGTGAGCTGTATGAAAAGGATTCACGTTGAAGGATGTTTTTATGTTTTTTACTTTATTTATTTTTTTTTTTGGTTTATTTTTTTTCCACTTTGCTTGTCTTTTTTTGCAATTAAATTTTGCCTTTTATTTCTCCATCTATTTACTCTTTTGTAGAGTCTGAAGTCTGAAAATAATTAAACTGAAAGGTAATCTAAAATTGGTTACTTTCTTAGTATTTTAGTGTTATTTTTATTTATTAATTTTTTTTTTCAACAAAAATTTAACCCCAAAAAATGAGAGCAGACTGTTTGGAATTCCAACCAATCAACCATCCTGTGATGCTTCAGACTTTTAATTTAAAGTTATTTTGTCATAGTCTTTGATGTTTGCCAATATTTCAGTGCATTGTGTTTGGAAATGATCAGAGTTTACTTGCACACCTCATAGGCAGGAAAAAAACTAATTGTCTCTTACATGAGAATTATAGAAATTACATTTGCTGTGATTTCAATAACTGTATTTGAAAACTAATTACCCGTAAGTGATATAGTTAAATTCTCTTGAGTTTCTCCGATCATATCCCTGAGTCTGCACATAGCTTCCTTGATACACTTGCTAGTTATGGCAGATGCCTCTTGGACGTGCCAGGAGTTTGCTTTGTGCTGATAGAGACAGCTCCTGCGCTAATTCCTGTGACTCGAGCATATGAGGAAGGTCTGGCCTGTCACCTATAATGATCAAGGGTAATCCCCATGCCTCAGGAGTTTCAAGGATGCTAAAAAGCTCTTTCCTTGCCTCACTGATTCTTCCTTCCTTTTATCCACAACAAATATCAAACCCTGGATATTCGCTAAATAATGCTGCCAGAGAAGTCTTAAGATCTCCTTTTCACCGACATCCCTTAATATGATAGTGACCCCTTTACAAGGTCAAACGGTGTCTACGTTAAATACATAGGTAGGAATCGTTTCCACAGACTTCTTTATCATGAGGTTGCTGAATATCGTGGTCTTTCCGGCTGAATCCAGTCCGAGCATAATAATGCAGGGGACAAGATTTGCAAGAGAGCTTTGATACATTCATATAATTACTCGGTTAAGTCTTGGTATAAACCAAACTGCAGAAATACAGCACTTTTACCATTCTTTTTCGAATGAAATCGCCACTCTGGGAAACATAATTCAACCCTTTTTTCGGGGTACGCTATCTAAACTTCCGCACTCTGAAAATAACGCCAGTGTTGAAATTTGTAGGTAGCCTCGTTATCAAGTATTCTTACCCAGTCAGGTCGCGGGCAAGGTAATTTTAAAGATGGCGGCTCAAACTGTAACCGTAGAAGAGCCGGAATTACCCGAAGAAGTCACCGAGTCGCTGGAAACGTTCCACGAAGCTTTGGGAAAAGTTGATGATACATTTAAGTCCCTTCTGGAGACTTCAGTTGATGACCTTAAGGAAAAGGTTCGGTTACATCTTCAGTTTATTTGAAATTTGACCGTGAGTTAAGATTTGCCTTCAATGCCATGTGCTTCTTATAAAGAAGAATTATTCTTAGTTATGATTGTTACTCGTACTTTATAGCCATGTTAAACAGAAAAAGGAATTTTTTTTGTGAAGGAGTTGTGTTAATATGAATCATTTTGATATGATGCGATCTTGTGTTTACGGGCCGGGTTGCCTGATGATGAAATATGGAATCCGGAATGCGGAATCCGAAATCCGGAACAGCGATCGAAATTTAGGAAGGTTAGAAAATTATTACTTCCAATACGAAGAAGATTAAACCAGTTTAGCTAAACTATTTGTTCACAAGGCACAAATTGTACTTGATTCTGAGACATTTTTCCACTTTGAAAGTACATCAACTGTATTTATACTTAGTGAAGTAAAAGTACATGTGTTTGCCTTTCCTTCCAGATGAATCCCTTACAAAGTGCAAAACTGGATTTAGTTGTTGCATATGCCATAAACTCTATGTTCTGGAGTAAGTATCATGTACATGTAAATGGTTGTATGAAAACAAAATGTGTGTAATTTATCAGGAGAAATATCTACTGTAGATTGCATTTGCATTACGTTCCTATTGTCAGTACCTGCATGGGGATATAATGTCTAATATACACTTAGTGAATCTGTATTGATATATTTTTGGAAGTGGTGTGAGATCTCACCTCTAGAGTTGCTAATTTTTCTTAAAGAGAAGTTAGTTGACAATAGACTACAACTTAATTGCAATGAAACATTGATGTCCAAATTGATTTTTTTTTATGTGCATCAACAGTGTATTTGACAACTCAAGGAGTTAACCCACGCCAGCATCCTGTAAAATCTGAACTGGTTTGTAAACTGTTATTGATAACAAACACTTACTCTGTAGATGTAAGATATATTATTGTTTCAATGCTCTGATCTGCTCTTTCAGGACCCCTTGTAAATTTACACATGTGGTGTAAGAGCAACTACTTACAGTACATTGCGCACAGTATGACATTGTAAAACATGCCTGAAAATGGTAGCACAAAATATTTGTTTCTCCAAGTGCTGTTCACATAAATGTGCATACATGTCTGTATCTATCTATCTATCTAAGCCCATCACTTCTCCTGGGGCATAGGTTGTCAACAACTGTGTGCCAGAGTTCTTTGTTCTGAGCAATCCTTTCTAATAAGCTATATGAGTGGCCAGTCTTTCTGATGTCAACCTCGAGGTCACAACGCCAAGTGTTCCTTGGTCTGCCTCTCTATTTCTCTTATGCAGGGGATTCCAGAAGAGAGCCTGTCTTGTGACACTTGATGTTGTACATACATTTACCTTCCCTTTGTTTGTTTCAGGATAGAATAAAGAAATACATGGGTAAAGTAAAAGAAGCTACTGAAAAGAAAGAAGGTACAAATTAGTGGCTTTTGTTTTTCCATTTCATCAACAGACAGCACTGTAGAATTAGTTTGCCCATAACAGTTAACTGATCCTTTATGTGTTTATACTCTGTCAACAGTTCACTGCTGTACTTATGTACAGCAGCCTCTCTGGACCATAGGATGGCTCACTTGCTTAGAAAGGAGCCGGGCATGTTGTTTTGTTTATACTAACATTCTCTAGATGTTGTAGAACACTATTTGTGTTTATTTTCATTTACATACACTTGTTCTTGTTGTAGCTAACTCTCAAAACATTGCGCAGACTTTGCTTGCATATTTAGTCAGTTAGAGCTAGCATAATCGTATTTCTGTATTTGTTGTTTCTTTGCTGTAATTGACTGAGGCAAAGGGAAAGAAAGGTTCCCATGATCTTTGACTACATCTGAGATTTCAGTTCTTAAAATGAAAGTGAAGCCCCTTGCCAAAAAGCAAAAATAAAAAATAAATAGAGAAACATAGAAACATTGATTTAATTGTCAATCCATAGCAAAAGTGCTTGTCTTTTAGACACTGAATGAAATAGAGTGTGAAAAATTCATTTGATTTCAGAATTTTTTATTCATTTTTACAAGCCTCCTCCCTCCCTGGCCTCCTGAAAGTCCAAAAAATTTGAATTTCAGCTTCAGAGTTAGAAAGAAAAAAGATTGACAATACATTTAGGGAAGGCAGGAAACAATAGACAGGGATGTAAACAGGTTGCAAAATGAGGGAGTACCATTCACAGTTAAACCTGTATTAAGCAGCAGGGTATTAAATGGTTACCCTATATTTAGCTGTTGGTTATTAATGTCCTAACATTTTCCCTCCTTTATCACTGTAATTCTCATGTCTGTTTAGCAGTCACCTCTATCAAGCAGTTTGTTCCCCTTTACTAAGTCCCAATGGCCTGTCTGCATTGTCCTCTACCTGTATTGAACAATAACTTAAAGGGGAATTACTCAAAAAGAACTAGGAACAATCTTTCAAGTCTGTTTAGCAGTCAACTCTATCAAGCAGTTTTGTCTCCTTTAATTAGTCTTAATGACCTGTTTGTATTGTCTTCCATCTGTATTGAATAATAACCCTTCAAATAAAACTAAAAACAATCTTTCAAGTAAAATTTAATCAATGTTTCTTTCCTGAAATTAAATTTAGAAGTTGTAGTCATAGTATTTTTTTAACAAGTTTTTGTACATAAAGTGATCAATCTATGGTCAATTTATGGTTTTCTATGTTAACCCTATTTTGCGGAACCTGTATTAAGTGGTCATCTTGCATTAATGATGGTAAGAGAGTTTTCATAATTGAACACTCCAATAACTTTATTGGATTTTGTTATGAATTTCTATTTTTACTTTCCTTAATATATTGTAAACCACAAGTTGGAGGCAAATGTATCTTTTAATTATGTATTGATGTATATTTATTTACATGATTGTATTTCTTTTATTAGCTTCTTTAAGAATAGACAAAGGTGCTGCAAAGAGATTTGTCAAGAGTGCTTTATGGCAACCAGATACTGGTAAGCAACTTTACTCTCTTTCACATTCTTTGATTGGTTCTTAAGACACCAGAATTTGTTTTTGCCTTTTGATTGGCTTCACTCTGTGAGGGTTCATTGACAACCTGGGGCTCTACATGTGTGTCATGCCAGGTGGGATTGTGAATATTTCCAGTATTATTTCCTTTGTTAATGTTGTATTTTATCTTTTTATGTGCATTGTTTTTACATTTCAACCCTTTACACACTAACATCAGTATGCATACTCTCCATACTTTCTCTATACTTTTCTTAAGGTTCTTAAAAGGAGAATTTGTTCAACAATCAAGAGGTTCTTTAGTTGTTGATCATTACCCTTATTCTCATGACCTTAATGTTTTATTCAGGGCTGATATTGCAGGGAGAAAGTAGATGCCAGTCACTCTTAGGGGTTAAAGGGCTAAGAAGTACATTGGCGTGGAAAAGAGCCAATTAGAGAAAGGGATAATAGATCTGCTGTGTATTAAACAACGAAGACATAGAAAACAACTAAACAAGTAATAAACAAACAAACAAAAAATGTTCTTCCTTTTGGAATTTTTTTTTTCAGTTTTGAGTAAGTTAGAGCTTACTTTTAATGTTTTCTTGGATCATGTTCAGTCCATTTTTTTGTTATTTTCATTTTGTTTTTTGGTTTACATGTATGTTTTGTTGTTTGGTACCAGTCATTATTTACTCCTACTTGCAAGTGGGAGATCTCCAAATCAAAAGGTCTGGGTTGGAACCCTGAGTGGGTCATCTTGTTTGTTAAAATACAGGAACTATCAGATTTCACTCTCCCGTGGCCTTTGTAGTTCCACCCAGGAACATCAAGAAAACTTGATTAACCAAGAGATTAATCACATCATGTCCTGGGGGAAGGCAATATTCCTACCTGTAGTTGATTCAGCCTGCTTCAAACTGGGTATAAGGTCCAGCAGTGGGGTGCAACTAGGCTGTTATAAGACTTGACCCATAGACGGACCTTACGTGTACTTCAAAATGGTGACAACGTTTGTGTTCTTTATGTCTACGAAAAGTAGCCCTCTTTGCCTAGCTCACATCCTCTGAATTGCAAAGGAATCTTTGGCTTGAAATGAGGTGAAGAGAGCCGATTGTAATTGAGACAAAATAATGGTCATTTTTCTCCAGTGAAGAAGAAGGCGTATTTGTATTTACATGTAATTTGAAATTTTTTCCAAGATAAAGGCGCGACTTCGGAGACATCACAGAAGGAAGTAGAAACCCCACGTGAAGAAGGTGAGGACGATCGTGTTTTATTTGTTTGTAATTATGTTTTGGACTTTCTTGTCGTCATTATCTTCATCGTCGTCATCACAATTGTCATTACTGTTGTCGTTGTTTCAGTGGATTTTGTTTATGGTGGATGGAGAGTTCTTCTTTGATCTAGCTGTTGAAAAAATTAAGAGAGGAACGATCAAGTACACGTAGAGCTGCTAAAGAACAAATGTTTATTTCCAGCATCTGTTCACTCTAAATATACTGCAATATACTTCTTGCACCTACGTGCCCTTGACGATTGTGGCGTATTTTGTTTTTCTTCAGAATCAAAGAAGTCTGAGAAACGAAAAAGTGAAGGGAAACTTGCCAAGTCTACCGAAAAGAAGAAGAAGAGGAAGCGTTAGTAGCAAGGACAAATTAAATCTTTCACCTAGCCTAGATTTCAAAGAACTGTTACATCAATTTTGGAGGAAAACTGTGCGATTTACCCAAGAATTGTTTTTCGCGATGTACTATGCACTCACAGTGAAAGAATGAAGATGAATTTAATGACAAAAGACAACGTGTTCACTCTCCTAGTAAAAGCTAAGGAAGACTCAATCTCGGACGTAAAGGAAGTAAAGGAGATTGTTTAAAAAAAAAAACCGGAGCGAAATCTCAATCGGGAAAGTTTCTAATGGTCATTCATTTGAAAATGATAGGAATGCTATTTAACGTTGTACACGATCAAGTCCAGAAAACAAAAAGGAAAAAACATATCTGAGCTTAGAAATGTGTGGGTCTTTTAGCAACCTTTACAAGCCAGGAGTAAATTTTAATTCTTTTTTTTGTTTTGCTGATTAGAGCAACAGCTCTATCCTGTAAATTGACTCTTCGAGCGGAGCTAACTTGAGGGATCGTATTAAATGATTATGCAACAATATTTGAAATGAGTGAAAAATACGTGTGTGGACCATGGATTTGCCTGTAAATAGTTCAGATAAAGTTTATGACTTGTGTACGTGAACGACTTGGAGAAAACGGTCCGATGCCCTTGGAAATGATCTCGAGTAATCTCAGAACCATTCCTATGAATTCGCTTGCTTTCTAGCTTTTTTTCTCAAGGTTAACACGTCACGTAGCATTTCTCTTCCCAGCGAACTCGTGAAAATTTGTTCGCCGTTTGGTCGGAGCTTTGTTTGTTTAGGGGTTTTTTTTCAATTCTTGTTTTAGACTGAGTTTTTGGTATATTTTTTTGTATGTTCTCTATTTAATATCTTTCTGTTTTGAGACAGTTTTGTGCGTTCCATCAACAAATAAATGTTCACCACGAAATAGTGTTTGAGAGCGACTTCTTTTAAGACCGAGTGAGTGGTGGCTTATCGACCGAAAAATGACTATCCTCATGTGTCGGTCAGAGCTACCTAATAGTAAACTTAGAAAGGTGGTGAGGTTTTTTGTCTTTGTTTTGTTTTGTTTGTTTTGTTTTGTTTTTTCCCAAAATTGCTTCCTTATTCCAGAAAATTCGCGAAAACAGAAACGAGCGTCGGTAGCCGTAAAGTGGCGGAATTCAGTGCTCCGAGTAGGTGCAAGTGAACTTTTCTCGTGAAAAGCGCAGAAGAGAGTAAGCTCGTTTAAATTTGATTGATTTGTATCGGAGGGATTGAATATGTTTTAAGTCTAAAGTGGGACCATTTCATTCAATTTGGAGCTCACGGAACACTATTTAAAATCACCAATATTTCCAATTACTAATATCGCAGTTCATAACAAATTCTCAATTAACATTTTTCCCATGCGGTGTATCTCGGGATGAAAATTACTTCAATCACAAAAAAAAAAAATTATCTCTTTCCGTTCTTGCGGTTTTTCGGTCACGAAAATTTCGCGTTTCTGAGATCACTGTATCTCTGGGCAAATTATATATGTTCAATTTTTCGACAATGTGTCACGTTTTTTGATATTCACTATGTCCACTTGGACATTCGCTGATGTTTATCTGCTTTACCCTTTTGTATTTGAAGTAATTTGGGACCCAAAGAGTTGAACGTTATTCGTAGGCGCGGGGGTGCGTTTTACTTAGATTCTTTAATTGAAGGAGCAAGAGTTAGCAGATGTCCAAACTACGAGGTGTTCGCCACATCAATGTGTCCACCGGTGGGAGTTGACTGGAAATTGTTGCTTTCAGTTCATCATTTGGCGTCAAGTGGTGATATTTGGTGTGTTCTTCTTGAGACCTTTAAATAATTTATTAACGAATAGCCGGTCGAACAAGCCTCAGAGAGGAATTTCTTAAATAACTACTTCTGTAATTTCGGAGGGATTGAGTATGTTTTATGTCTAAAACGGGACCATTTCATTCAATCTGGAGCTCACGGAACTCTATTTAAAATCACCAATATTTCTAATTACTAATATCGCAGTTCGTAACAAGTTCTCAATTAACCTTTTTACCCATGCTGTGTATCTCGGGATTAAATTACTTCAATCACAAAAAACATTATCTCTTTCCTTTCTTGCGGTTTTTCGGTCACGAAAATTTCGCGTTTCTGAGATCACTGTATCTCTGGGCAAATTATGAATGTTCAATTTTTCGACCATGTGCCACATTTTTTGATATTCACTATGTCCACTCGGACATTGGGATTTCGCTGATGTTGGGGACCCAAAGAGTTGAACTTTATTCGTAGACGCGGGGGTGCGTTTTACTTAGATTCTTTAATTGAAGGAGCAAGAGTTAGCAGATGTCCAAACTACGAGGTGTTCGCCACATCAATGTGCACGTGTCCACCGGCGGGAGTTGACTGCAAATTGTAGCTTCATTATTTGGCGTCAAGTGGTGATATTTGGTGTATTCTTCTTGAGACCTTTAAATAATTTATTAACGAATAGTCGGTCGAACAAGCCTCAGAAAGGAATTTCTTAAATAATTACTTTTGTTTTGCTTGACGAGGGAAAATTATTGACTGAGTCAATTTTGTGAAAAGCATTTATTTGAGTTCTGACCTGAAATAATGCTTGCTTCGAAAACATTGTTGGCGCTCATCGCTTGGATTTGTCGGATGTTTTGCCTCTCCCTTACCAGCCATGGTGAGATCGATTTCTTCTTCACCTTATTTTAAAATTAATGGTTAGGTTACTGCAAGCAATCCAGGCTGTAATTTAACATGTAAATCATACTGAAAGTGTTAGTTACTGAATTTGGAGACTGGAAAATGGGTGATAAAACGACTTAACCGAAAAATTCTAGTTGACAAATTTTTGGCTGCAAATGGCAAACCTAAATTGAAGTCATTATGAAATTTAACTTACAGTTCCAACTAAACCTTTTGCATTTATTGTAATAATGTAGAGTATCGTGACATAAGTCAAGATCTTCAAAAATCTTTTAATTTCCAAGCTATATCGAAAACGATTCTGAAAGCTAGGAAGTATCAAAAGTAATTTTTTCTTGGTTTGACTGTTACTTTCGGCTTGGAAAAACGCGACTACTAACGTGAATTGTGATATAAAACTGTAACATTTTTGCTAAAAGGTAAGTACCCATATTCTTTTGATCTCGTCAAGACAGTCTTGAAAAGGATTTGAGTTCAACTGTCACCTGATATTCTCATACATGTATCAGTTGTTCATCGTGTTGTGACAGCGAAAATACACACTTGTGGGCCGAACATTCATTGCAAAGAATATTTACGCGCAGTTTCTTTCGTAGTGGTCGATGTTTGCAAAATCATGCGATGCTAAATGTGAATGGTTTGAAGATCAAGTTACTCCTAATTGTCAGCGATGTAATCTATATCAAAAGTGAATAAAACTTGGAGGTAATAAACAAAGTATTTGTCGCCTTAGTGAGACCGAAGGGGACCAAAATTGCTGCTTACCTTCTCTGGTCGCTGGGGAGGAAAACATTTAAACGCAACTATGTTCAGAAGTAATTGGGAAAAAAATTTGAATTTTAAAGGGCCTGGTTCACCGTTATCGAAAGAATCTTAATATGCTCTTTTAAATTTCATGTTCTAAGTGACGATGGTAATAATGTTGATAACGATGATTAGGTTAGATATCCCGTGTGAAAACATGCGCATGAAAGATTGTTGCACAACTTGTTCCGGCCAATAACGAGATCTCAGGTCTCAGTCCAGGCTAAATCATTGTCACGACTTATGTTTTTCGTTCACAGATACGTGTAGGCGATACGTTAAATTTACTACTGAAATAAAAGGGTCTGCGCTTCAAAGTCATGTTATTAAGAATCTAACACTACCAGCTAATGTACAGGACTCTTGTAGAGTTCAGTGCGTTATGGAGAGTCAATGCCTGTCAATCAATGTTGGACCTCATATCAAAGGTCGAGTATTATGTGAACTGAGTGATTCTGACCACACGAGTTACCCGTACGATATAAAACCAAGAGAAGGTTTTACCTACACTGGTACTGAGGTAACTAAATTTATCTCGTATGATAACCATCAAATATATTATTACTCCCAAATCACATCTTCGATAGTTTTCAAGTTGGTTTCAAACTAAATGATGCATGTCTGTAAATGGTCCACCTTTAATCAAATCAAACTTAACGCACGAGAAGTATACAAATGATGATAGAGTGAAAAGACTATCGTCACATTTTTGCCTGCTCATGATGCCCTGCCTGTCTTTCACTCTTCTCAATCAAACCCTTAAGCAATAAATAGATGAACAAGAAGAAAGAGAAAGCCTCATACATCTTTCCACGGTGATCTAACATAACCTTTCCCCCTCCTTTTCCCCTCCCCTTTCAGCCCATCCCCCATTCAAACCACTTAGGAGGTTAAATCAACAAATAATTTATTAACTCAGGAGCCAACATCAGTTGAAAGGAAAGTCCTGAATAACTCATCCCAAACACCAAAAAATATTCCTAAGAGAAATAACGACCGTCTTTAGCTTTTTTCTTTTTTTTTTTTTTTTTTATCTGATCTTTCCTCAACAGAACCATTGCTTAGATAGTCCTTGTTTAAATAATGGTACTTGTTTAAGCGGGTTTTCTGAGAAGAAATACTTATGCGTGTGTCAGAATGGCGATCAAAAAGGAAACTGTGACAAAATCGAAAAACCTGCAACAACCTGCAAGGCATTGTATGATAAAAAAAGGCAAGTACGAGTACATCACATTCATAATGTTACAGAGTTTAAGTCTGGTTGGGTATGATGGTCAATATCGCCTTGATGATCCCCGATAAGGCTGAGGAGGAAGGGACGAATGTATGAAAAGAAACAAGGCTATAAAATTACGAGCGACCTGGACTATAGGAACGGTAGCAGAACTGGATTTGAGCTTAAGCTTAGCCTCCATATGATCGCCGGGATTATTTCAGTCGTGAGCCTAACGCTAGCTTGGTTAAATAGACACCCTGTTTCCAGGCAATTTATGCCATGATTTCTTCTTTGAATACAAAAACTTTGTTAACTTTCCCCACGAGCTCCGCACTATCCCGATGTCCTTTTACATGACCAAAAACCTTACCTTGCGGGGGGGAGGGTTGGTCTAAGTCCCAGGTACCAATACCTGCAGTTCAATTGGCCTAAGTGGATAATAGCTCTAAAACATGATAAATAACACAAAGTCACAATCCTATGTTTATTCATAGCATTGTTAACTGTTTCTTTCATCTAGGTTTGATGGCAACAGAGCCTATGAACTGACAATTGAGTCAGTAAAAATTCCTGTTTATTGTCACATGACTGATGATCTTGGGGCATGTGCAGGTGGTGGATGGACACTTGTCGTGAAAATGAACGGGAGTAAGGTACAGGGAATCGCTTCGTCGTTGCTATTTAATTCAAACCAAACTACTGCAACGTACTCTGTTTATTTCTCATTTTTCCATCCTTCCGCAATTTGTTCATAACCGCCAAATTCAATACTGAAATAAAAAAAATTAAAAAAAACAAGGATTCGAAAATAACTTCTGCACTCGATAGGTGAAAGCTGGAGGCTAATCTGGGTAGATAGCTAAAGTACTGATTATGGAACTATAACTTTAATGATTGCACAGGGTAAAATAGAGATAAATAATTAATTGAGTTAGCTTAAGACATTCCTCTCCTGATTATTTGTCCAATGAAAGCAACCGGGCAAGTCATTTGAATGACTTGCTCGAGTACTTTCACAGAACAAATCAAAATTTCCTACCATCACAAAATTCCGAGAAAGATGAAATGAACCGTAGTAACAACGTTTCCAGAATACGTTCCTCATATTTTTCCATCTGTTTGTGTGGATGTGTGTTTGGTTTGTTTTTAATTCAATTTTCGTTTAATTCGTAAACAGGGAACTTTCCATTATGATTCCAACCTCTGGACCAATAGAGAACCTTTCAACTCTCATGGTGGAGAGACTGGGTTTGATTATGAGGAGACTAAGTTGCCCACCTACTGGAACACGTCCTTCTCTAAGATCTGTCTCGGAATGAAAATCGGCCAACAAATCAACTTTATTGTTATCAACAAGCAAGCAAATTCTCTCTACTCACTAATCGCTGATGGAAGATACCGCGCCACCTCACTGGGTCGTAACACGTGGAGGTCATTGATTGGTTCTGAGGCTTCACTACAGAGTGGCTGTAACAAAGAAGGGTTCAATGCTGCTTGTACCTGGGCAAAACATTCCCAAGCAAGGATCGGTATTATTGGAAACAATCAAAACAACTGTGCGTCTTGTGACTCAAGGATAGGATTTGGGACTGCAGGAAAGCCAAATAACAATATTTCATGCGGGAACAGGGCGCCAGAAAATGCTGATAATGGTGAGAAACTCATCAACACATATGGATATATCTTCGTTCAGTAAGAGACAAACAGTATTTCCAAAGAATACTAACCTAAATTGCAGCCATCATTATCAATGTAAATAGATGAACAGATTTTATAATACAAACCGCCGTTAACTATTTGATATGGAATTTCTACATCCATTTTCAAATCTAGTTAAAAACTGTGTATATATATATATACATATCTGAGTGAATTTACAAAAACATACCTCGCCAATAAAAAATACAATCTCAAAGCTCAAAGTTAATATCCAAGAAAACACCTTTCAAACTTGAAAGTTTCCCCAACTCTCCCCCACCCCCAGTCAAAATGATCTAGTGCCCTAGAAGGGATGCCACAAAGGAAAGGTTTGACTCTGAATTTATGAACAAGGTCCAAAACAGGTAGCCACTGGCAACCCACCTTTCGATTGGTTGGTGGCTGGGCTGCATGCGGGCACTTGTCTTTACGTTAAGCCCCTGCAGTTTCTTCAGCCAACCTGGCTTGAGGGCGGGCGGTGCCCGCCTTAAAGCGAAAACCTAACCACAAGGTTTTTGTCGACTGGGCCCTCTCCCCTTAAGGCATGTGTGACACTCAACCCTCTTCTAATCATGAAGTGTTAGCCCAGTGGCTGAGGTGTTACCGGGTACAAGCCTGACTACCAATCCTACAATGCAGGCTTTAAACCACGATGAGCCCCTTCGAGCCTTAGAGAAAAATGCCAGTTAGCCAACGGGTTTCAAAATCCTACCCTTACCTCTCAGCCCTCAGGTTTTTGCAACCCCTCCTAAGCCCACTGCTTTGGACTTTCAACCACCCTCCAACCACGGGGTGTTCACCCACTGCCTGAGCTCTGGCAGGGCACGAACCTGAGTGTCAATCTTGTGACATAGTGGGCATGGTTTTGGAAATCCAAAAAGATATATTTTTTGAACCTGAAATAACAATTAAAATGCCAAGAACTGCTTGATTCTTGGAAATTTAAAGAAGGCTCGCTCATTTTTTGCCGATCTGATGACCCCGTGCACTGGCAAAGCACAGACTATTGAATTCCTCCTCTATGCAACATATTTCCTTGCTCAAAATTTTCCTGTTGTTGATTGTGTTTCCGTCGAGAGAGAAAGCCCTGAAATTTATATGAACTCTTAACAAGTTATCCGAGTACACATTGCCTGTATGAGGAACTATAATCACTTCGTAACATACACAACAGTACGTGACCAAAACATCTTGAGATGGTTTTACAACCACGTGCTCTGCTTTTGTTAATTACCATGGGGAAAACCTGTATGTCTCAAAAAAGAAGAACTCAGAGCGCAAACTCACAGCGTACCCTAGCCCCTTAAGTGAAGTCGATATATCATTGTGCGTATGTCATCGCCTTCGAAGCTATCGTGTTGCCTCTCTTTCAATTCTGACGGTCTTCGTTCTCCAAGGAGCACAAGACGGGTGCATTCTCCTGATAATTCATTATGTTTCCTTGAATAATACGTGAAGGAAAATTTGCAAAGGAGAAAAAAGGGGCGGGAAAGGTCGATGAAGTTTTTACCCCACGCGAATATCTAAAAACCACCATTTCCTGTTAGAAAATTGAAGTATGAATTATACCTCAGTTAAAGATTATCGTTAATATCCCCGAGTGAATGTCATTGAAGTTCATGGAAATTTTTTAATTGATAACACATGAACGCAATCACTTTTACTTTCTTTTAGTTAGTATGAACACTTATTAAAATGTCAGCGACAACTTAGCTCATTTCTTTAACTCTTTTGTTTTACTCGACGCTTTCTCCAATTACTGAGTTAATAACGGAAAAACAGAGCGCTAATTAACGTAGCCTGTCGAACTGTTTTCGCTGATTTGAAAGATATATTCCATGTTTATGGCTGTTGCAAAAAACAAAAGAAGGAGAAAAAGAAAGAAAAAGTATATTTTGAGTATTTTTGTTATTATTCGTAAACTTTTGACAAACTTAGGTTAACGACATTGCTTTTTTTCAGGGTTAATGTATTCAACTGAGACATTTTAATCTAAACTGTCAACTGGTAGAAAACGCATTAGGATTAGAGCAATAATAACTCCTTATTTAAAAAAAAGAGAATGATATTTTTACTACAGCGCAAAAAAAATAAAGCAGAAAGTGCTGCTTTTTTTTTTTTTGTTCCTTTCTTTTTTTTTTTTTTCGTTTTTTTGGATGGTTCCTAATTAATTCAATTCAAAGATCTCTAAATTAAGGGCGCTAATTGGCTATAACAACAACTAATTGACTCCTTCAGAACTCGCCACTATTACGCTCTTAAAAGTATCACAGGACTGCCGCCAAATTAGAGCCTTCTGGACTGCTGAAAGCAATATCATTATACCTTGAGTTGAAAGCTTCATTCTGATTTACCATGTTTTCTAGGCTTATCGCTTGCATTTTATCCGCTTATTTAGCTACGATGGCTCAGGCGATCTGCTCTCAAGGTTAGTCCAATTAAATTCGTGTTTAACAATACTATTTTGAATATGACTACAGTGCTTTTTGAATACGCCAATATCGTTTTAAACAATGATTCAAGCCTTTATTCCTAAATTATTTCTGGCAACTTTTTCGCTTGGCATACCTATTGCGATTATACTTTAAGTTTTTTTGTTGTTTATTCATTTCCTTCTGAAATGGAAAGCAGGCACAGTACTTGATTACCGGCGATGGCAGGCTTCCTCAGGCTAAAAGTGTCACAAATGGTTAAATTCCTTTTGTTTGGCTATTTACATGAGCTCATGACCTCTGTGGTAACTAAATTTCTTTTCCTCTTTAGGATCAAACCTTCTGAATGGAGATGAAATCTGTTACACATCGAAGCATATCCGGAAACGTAGCTTCATGAAAGACACCTTCAAGTATTTAGATATCCCTCCCGTTGAGGCAATCACCGTACATGATGACTTCGATTGCCACTCGAAATGTCTGGAAAATTCAAAGTGCCATTCTATTAACGTAGCTGCTTCTAAAGCGGCTGATGGAAAGCTTTGGTGTGAGTTGCTGTCTTCGGATAAGTACAAAAACTTTACCATGTACCATGTTAACCAAACCTCCAATCATTATTTTCGGAAGGTTAGTGACTTTGTGATAAGCTCGTGATATGTAGGGGTTTTTAAGGACAACAACGTCTCTATTTAACTAAAGGTGAAACGTTACTGTGAAATATTGGGGGAAAATATTAAAAGTATACAAATACAAATACAAAAATCTTCCCCGCTCCCTCCACCCAGATAAAAAGGCCCTTTAATTGGAAAATCTGTATGAAATTATGATTCACTTTAGGCTATGAGGAAGAAGGAATTGTGACGCTGTGAAAATTATTTAGTGACTTGTAAAACAAAAGGACACTGAGAGAAATAAAGCGATATTTAGGATCCTAGTTTTGGGCATATATTGATGGAACGTGTCAGTTGCTTTTTTTTTAAATGCACTCATAAACGACATTTGTCTTTGTGATTCGTCTTTGCAGTCACCCTGTTCCTCCTTCCCCTGTAAAAATGGTGCTACCTGCGTCCCAAATTATGACGACGACACGTTCCACTGTATCTGCAAGAAAGGGTTCAGCTCTAAATTGTGCAGAAACGGTACATATCGAAGAAGCTTTGTTTTTTTTTGTTGTTTGCTTTGTCGTTGTTACTTCTCGTTCAACATGGAATTTAGATGCGAGACCTACGTTTATCGAAAGAACCATTTTATTCTATGAGTTATTAGTCTGGGATACATCTTATTTTACGATCTTAAGCGCATATTTGATTACGGAATTCTTTTATGTGATCTGGCTTCAGCAAAACCGAATCATATTCAAATGATCTTGGTCGTCCATTTGTGCGATGGTTTTTGATTACTTTAGAGCTTTTCCATGAATAAAATTTACCTTTTGCATTGTTAGTTTTTTTATTTCTACTTGCTTGCTTCTTTACCGAGAATTATGGTGTGTTTCTTTGTTTTCCTTTTTTTTCCTTAACTGGTTTTTATTATGTTTTGTCTTTTGCATTTTTGTCGTTTGTGCCACTTTGTAGCTTGTCCTTGTGGAGCTATCGAATTATCTTCATTTAAATATTCCGAGACTGTCAATAACAGCAACACAAGAATTGCTGCATATTAAAAAACGTCTCGACTTACTGAGCTAACATTTGAACTTTAAAATGTTTTTTTTTACAGTTGTTGCCAGCTCTTGCAAAGAAGCGTACGATTTACACAAGTGAGTACCACAATAATGCTTAAACAGTTCCAGACTCAAAGAACACAAATAACAATTAAACATGGTCTGATCAGAAGACCTTAACGAGTCAGTCTGATGTTCTCATAAAGCTGCCTTTTGTCTTTGCAAATGCGGAAAATTAGCTGGAAAAATTGGAAATTAAAATAATTAAAATAAATAAAATAAAATATGATAAATTAAATCCATCTATCCATGAACATGTACAATATTTTAAAAATTCAAGGTAAAACACAATAATATGAGCTGTAGTTTATTTAACGAATAATAAGCCTTGACTGTGCTCTGTTCTGTTGGAAAGCTCGCAGGAAGCGGCTAAAGCACAAACGAAGTGTAGGGAGAAACACGAGACGTAGTCAAACGTTTCTCCCCATTTCTTAAGCTGGAATTTTAACAGTTATTCTTATTGGGCTATAATTTTCATAATTCCTGTTTTGTTCTGTTTTGTTTTTGAACGCGAAACTTTATATACCATACGGGTGTTAGCTGTGTTTGATTTTATTAATGTTCGTAAGCTTGCAATATAACCGAGCGTGAAAACCTTCAAAACTCGGATTGTTTATTTCGTTTTCTCTTTAAGAATTTTTGTCTCTGCTCACGTTATGATAACGTAAACTACGGCGCTTGCCATGTTTACAAACCTTTATTTGATTCTCCTGTCGCTATTTTCCTGCTCGCTTGTTCCGGAATTTAATTTTTAGATGACGTAAAAAACCTTGAGAGTCAAGTCCGGGAAATCGTGAGACATGGTACAATTTGGCAGATGGTGTGACAGCTTTAGCTCAGCTCCGA